TTACTTGGGATTATGATAAATGTCAAGAATGTGTATCGAAACATGGATTTTCCCATAAATCAGATTGGGAGGTCGGGGGGTCAAAGCAATATCTAATCAACAAATGATTACCAGCGGCCACTTCATTGCTATATAATGAAAATGACACATTCAATATATGTGCTACGCTGCAGAGAACCATCACCAAGTTGTTAATCAGACTAATTTTTCTGACATACAACAGAACTGCTAAGCTTAGCCTATAAAGGTGTGGGGGTTAGGTGGTTGAGTTTCATCACTTGGCTAAAGAGGGCCGTCAATTTCAACCATATGTTGATCCTAAGAAAATATAGGATTGCTGGTGAATGACGCTAGCTATTACAAGACCAGGTTTCATGCGTTATGCGTCGTCCCCTTGCTCCAAGTCGCCAGGGGGTATGGATGCATGGTTTTTGAGCACTTTTCACATCATTTTGTTCGCCGTGCCACCTCAGGCTCATGAACAACCATATTTCAGAAGGCGGCACCCTTTTAACATTTATATACTACCGTATGAGCATTATAATATATCCATACGCCTAAGTATGCCAAATAATATTCATGAAAGCAGAAAACAGTTTTTCTGCCACGAAGAATGCGTCTTTTCACTTGTAGCTACTGTTTCGACAAAACAAGCGAGGTAGTGCTGAAAATCTAGAAGCAAACCCAACAGGTGGCTGGACGTAACCACTAAAAACTGTAGAATATAAGCCCTAATGCTAGGTAAAGACCGAATGGCGAAGGCGATTCAGTCCATGTCGGACAATTCTTAGTCATGCGACATTCACTGTAGATTATGTTCGCTGCGGCTGTGACTCTGGCGAAACGACAGAAAGCCACCTCTCCCTTATCTGCGTTCTTCCTCACCATTGCAGAACTACGGTACCAAAGAGGTAAACAGTTGCCGTCAGGTGAAGTCAGTCTCTAGTGGTCAGCTAGCTCTTTTCGAAACTGCTCCGTGTCATTGACAGTTGGCGTCATAGCGGAAGTATAAATTGCTCCAGAGTTTGGCCCGCCTATTGAAAGTGTACGAGACTGCGAATATGCTGGACGGAAAGGTCACAATGGCAGCAAAACAATAGAGATATACGATGAAACATGATCGGTAGCCATATGGCTTCGGTGCTTGAATGCTAGCAACAAATTAACGACTAATGACACTCGCCACTGAATGTACCGATGGCTTCTTGTGCAACCTCATGCCTTAAACCTTGCGGTTGATTTAAAAAGATAAAGTGTTAAATTGTCAAAAGATGTATTGATATTACGTAAGTAAGACGGCTACGTATTTCAATGAATTCATCAATTTCTGTAACCTTCTTTTGCACATTAGGAAGAATTCGCCCCATCAGTGTCAGCTGACGATTCTTTTCTCAAGACCCTGTTAGCTGCTGATATATTCCTCGAGCAAGACGGGAAAATTTGTTACGAAGGCAAAACTATGCTTTAGAAGGTAGTCGGTTTCGCTGTCATTCCAACGTGTATCCGGTACATTCGATTTCTTCGTTGTCATGATGATTTCAATTTACCTTAACTTGCCCACGACTATCGAGCGATAGCAGTGTTAACTGCGAGAAAATACGATCATTTATAGCAGAAAAATCGAATGCTTCTAGCCTTGAGCAATGCGTTATGCCGTCAGTCAAAGCTTGCATTTGGTCTGTGCATCCGTTCTGTGGATGAGTCCAATTTTACGGCGATGATCAGCAACGAGACAGGATCCAATCGCTGATCAAAGTATCTCCGCGTAAATCTGCAAATTGAGGCAAAGTGTAAAACACCACGATCAGCTCGTTTCACATCTCTTAAGCAATTGCTGCTATTAACTGCTTCGTTTGACAATTTAATACTGCTACAGTATACTGATGCTGCCTCGTTTCTTGGCAAGTAACTGCAACTCTTCAAAGTAGCTGCTTTGCCTTTGCCGTCTTGCTGCTTCTCCAAATGATCGCCAATGTTGTTTGGCGGGAATGTCGATAATCTGAAAAAAAGCCTTAACAACGGCCTATTGCGTGTGCTTAGAACTCCTGAATTTGTCAAGCTGCCATTATTACTCCCTGCTCGACCCCGGCAACTTGAATCTCTAACGTATGACTTTTAATGGATATAGCTTTACCATAGCATCATGGCGTGATCAGAGCCTGACAACACGACTGCGACAACGGAGACTCTCTAGTACTCAAGGATGATCCTGTGAAGTTACTGCTCCTAACTTTGAAAGAGATGTATTCTGATCTAGGTCTCTCGATTAACTTCGAAAAAACGAGCTGAATCGAAATTGGTTCTACCCCGACGGATATCTGTCTGATGCTGAGGCCGAAGTCATGGGAAAAAAATACCACAGCATATGTATTTTACGAGTATGCTGTCTGCACAGAGCCTGGCGGATGCAATGCGTTAGCACTGGCAGCGAGCGAGAAATCGTTTAAGACCCTGAACGTCAAGGATATTGGAAATATGTAAAAGCTGGGCCTGCAACCTGCCATCTTGCCTCATTGCTTGGACAAGGCATACATTCTCACGTTGAAAACTTAATGGACGGAAAATGAAGGTTTAAAGATCAATACTACGAAAGAAGTGGAAAGTGAGAGAGTGGAATGGTTCACTGGAACGACCGATGAACTGCGCATAATTTATAAATACTAAAATAGATTAACAAAATTCATCATGAAACCAAAATATGAAGTTGTTACGAATGCGAATGTAAACCTATGAGAACGTCGCAAGAAGCATCGACCATTACTGGACCTGAAAGGTTTTAGTTGGGTTCCAAGAGAGAGAGAGCAAATGGGCCGTCAGAAAACCTCCAGACGGAAAGTAACGTGAGCTAAAAATGGTTAATTAGATCCGGATGGACAAAAGTCACAAAAACAAAAGTTTATAGCAAAGTCTTCATCTAGCAGTGGATCGAAAAAGGCTGAAAAAGATTATCAAACTCATAGCAGCAGTGGTTCAAAGTAAGGACCAATTCTTCACTAAAGTAGCAAAACGTTGGACCTGAAACAATGCCGCGTTTTTAAACAACAATAATAATCCATAAAGAAAATAATTTATCTCCGCTGTTGCCGATCCCATGCCGGATAAGAAACGAGGAGGGTTGGACGCCGGGGCAAGTCTTCGTAACATTCAACCACCTGCCACTCATGGTATTGACGCCATCGAAAATTATACCGGCTGGTCGTCGCCGGGTTACCAAGGGCCACGCAGGCTATTGGGGGAATGAGACAGACTGCGAAAAGTCGGCGATCAGAACCTGCTCATTGACCTCTGCCAGCCGGGGGCGTGGCAGCACAATGACGGCTGACGAAGACCGACCCAACGACGACGAAGATACCAGTCAGCAACGGAGTAGCTACCCGTTCTGAACGGAGGAAGCAGACAGCGCTATGCCATTACAGCACGTCAGAAATAAGCGCACGAGAACGACATCACCAGCG